GAGCTAGAAAACAGTAATTTGTTTCGTTTTATTTAACAGTGATGATTAACTGAAACTTACTGGTAGGATTTTCACCCATAATACCGGATGTTGCATTACTAACAGCTTCTTTAACCTTTTCAGCAGCTTGACCAAGTTGATCAACACCTTGTTTTACATAATCCATTGGACCTTTTCCTTGTTGACTGGCAAGCGTACGAACAAAATTTGTTTGTACGACTAAACACCAAAAATTCATTGCGTTTTAGAAAGGTTATGTTAATCATGTTAGAATTGTTATCTCTTCCTTGTTTTAATATTAATTAAGCATGTTATATAAATTATTATTATTATTATTATTTACAAAACTATTAATGATATAGAATATAATGTATACATACATATAGAATGGATAAAATATGATACACTTGCATATAAGATATAATGTACAATTATGACATGTATAAATAACAAGTAACGCTCGTCTGTGTGACTCGCTTAACCCTCGACTGAATATTTCACTGCATCGGCAGTTGTTTATTACTGCAGACATTTTGCAAAAGGTAGCATCGGGCATTTGCACATGGCTTTGTGCTAGTGTCAACATTAGTGTACACATGTATCGGCGTGTATAATGCTATTGGTACCGTTGTAATACTGCTAGCTATAACATTCGTTCATTTAATCTGTTACTCTATCAATAACACTCAAAAGAAATCTACGTGACCCACACTGACACAGCAATATCCTCAAACCACGAAAAAATAGTATATTCGATTTTCAGAGAAAATCAGCAGACAAAAAATATCAGGGTGACTGCAGTAAAGATGCACTACACTTCACGCAAACTGTATTAATAATGCGCATACTCATAAACACATAGGCGGGCAATATCTCTGACCGGTACCCACTACGAAAATGCATGTTTAGCGTAGCTATCAGACTAAAAAGCTATATTTGTTCAAACTAATATCCGGCATACGCAAGTTGAATCAGGCTTCAACTCTGAGTCTTTGTGAGATTAAATAACGAATTTTAAATAGCCGGAAAAAAAATTTGACAAGTCAATGGGCAGATGACGTATCTATGAAGATAAAGGATTATTAAATTCCATTCAAGTCCACTTTTGATGATTCGATGCAAATTGTATTATTGACGCTTTTCAGGAAATGTTCGATTCCGATATTGAAGATCTCCAACACACTCGTTCTCACACTTCATTCAAATACACTTGTTAACCCTCTTGCCAGTTCTTCCTCCCATGAATCCTAGTAAGATCTAAGTGCTAGAGATCCTTCCAATGGATTAGAAGTTTAAAAGAATTCTATTCAAAGGATTTTTTAGGGCAGCAGCTAGTCACTCGTCGGCATCCGAGTGGGTCGTCACGCGCAACTAATTGCTGTTATGCATCGTTCTCTTCCAGTAATTATATAATTATGCACTATTATTTAAATTTTACTGGATTCTAGATTTGGATTAGTTTCAAAGCTGCCTATATTTATCGCATGAGAAATCCCAAAGTGAAAATACTTGTGAACTATTCCTTATGCGTTTCAATCCTTTACCTAGCTAGTCAATCTAAGATTTCATGGAGCTCGCCATCGAAAGAAGCTTAAGTATATGATTTCACACAAAAAACTAGCTTAATAGACCATATCTCATACCAAAAAAATTGTGAAGTAGAAATAGAAGCTACTATATTTCACTGTCGGAGTTCCGACGTGGCGCTATTCACACTTAGCTACTACTATCTTTGAACACATATTCTCAAATGACTACTTTCTTATTCAAGGCATGACTAATCCACATTTCGACTGCTTCAAAAGCTTCTCTACTCGTAACTAAAGGGTACTAGATTTCCTATATCCAGCAAGATATCTATTAAATATATACGTGTCGTCTCTCGAGTTTCTCCATGTTTATAGGAGTCCTTCTCTACATAAAGTGTCACATGTTAAGTCTCTGTGGCACTTTTTTAAGGACCTTGCTTGATGTTATGCAGAAATGTCGTAAAACAGATTTTGAATAAACCTAGTTTGGAGGCAGCTATTGGTTCGCCGTCCTTCCGAAGGAACGCCATTCACGGCTATCCGCTACTTCCAGCTACTTTCACTCACGAAAGGTTGATACCATTTTCAAAATCGAGCCATCGTTCCTATTTAAAAAACTGATGGAAAGTTTGATCCTTTACAAAAAAATTCATCCACATTAGAAATTTTCTTTGGAAGCTTATCAGTATTCAGGAAGAGGACACGTTAGTATAGATTTACCGATAATCTGAAATATTCTGAATAAGTGGACACAGCCGTTGTATCCTGTCAATCTAAATAATTTTTTTGCGTAACTCGCTCTCATTCCTCAATCTTTGCTCTACAAGCACTCTAATTTCATCTTATCTTCGTATTTCTTGATTCATTACACTACTGTCACGTATTACAAAGTACTTGCTGTTTCTCAACATCACTTCTCATAGAACGAATAGATTCGAGATCTGAATTTTGGAATCCTGATTCCAGATTCGGATTTCTCACCCTCGATAACCTCTAACAAAGTTCGATCAAAACGGCCAAAAGCCGTAAAATAAAAAAGTTCCTTTTTTGATTGACCGGTTTCCGACCAATGAAACTTCGGCCAAAGAAATGACTTCGGATTCGGATTCAGGGCCATCGATAACCTATAGCAAAGTTCACTCAAAACGACCAAAAGTTTTAAAATGAAAAAGCTCATTTCTGTTTGACCGATTTCTGACCAATGAAATCTCGGCCAAAAAAATGGGCTTCGGATTCGGATTCAGGGCCCTCGATAACCTGTAGCAAAGTTCGATCAAAACGGCGAAAAGTCTTAAAATAAGAAAGTT